GGAAAAGGTGGGGATTGGTGAAAAAAGTCATTAAGGGGGAGTGTTAAAATTAATGATTTTTTCTGTTAAAGTTTAAATTCAAAAAATGAAATCCACCGTGAAGTTGAATCACAGTAGAATACGTAAATTTCATGCGATATGTATGCATAATTTTCTGAGGATTTGATTTGATCGGTTGATTGATGTAATCAGTTTAAATTTGTATGGCTTATATATATATGCTAAAATAAAAAAGAGAACATATCTTCTTCTTCTCTCCAGCAAAAACACGTCTCTGCAGAACAGTAAAACAGAGGCAGCTGCATAAGCCTGCTCTGTTTTGCTGCCCTCACTCTCTTCAACCTTCTCTCTCTAAGTTTGTTCAATCACAGAGCTTCTCTTGAAGCTTATTTTCGCTTTCGATCAACAAACATATTCTTCGAAGAAATTCCCTTTTTCAACAGAAAATCTCAACGAGGCAAACGCTATTTTCTTTTCAAAAACTTCCCTCGCTCAGTTTTCAGTCAGCAATATACTTCGCCAGTAACGTTTTGCTAATAAACCGCAAAAGCGTAAGCACACTTTGAAATTAACCTCAAAACTTTTCTGAGTCAATACTTGTGTATCTGGAAAACGACATTTTAATGCTTCATTTGGACATTACATTTAGAGTTGAGAGAGAATTTTTGCTTATAACTTTCAACCTTCCAATTAAGTAACTTCCCACACCGGATCATCAAATTCCAGAAAACCCCACAAAAATATACATAAAAGGAGATTATGCAAGAAGAGAAACCCAACATAGCATTACCGATATAATTTGAAGGGTAAGAAGACGAACCTAAAGTCCGAAAGAAGAGGAGGTCGATCTGTTCCCGGAAAAAGGAAATAAAGAAAAGAAAAATGACCAGGTATGGATTGATAGAATATTTACAAGAGTAAACGAGAGGCACAAATTGTCAGTAAAACGCACCGTTTTGTCTTCCCCATAACTCCAACCGACGACGTGCAACCAGTGGAGCAGTCTACCTTAAACGCTGTCGTTTAATCTATAAAACATATGGGGCGTGTTCGTATGTATTCGGTTGATAAGAGGTCAGAGTTCCTCATCGCGTCTTTCCAGTGAAACGCCATCGTTTCACAGATCCTCTGTATTTCAGAAGCCCTGTTTAGCACTTGCTGCTCAACGGCGGGAGAGAGAGGGACGATGGATCAATTCGGAGGTGGGTGGGCAATGATTCCAAACGTGCAGACTCACAGTAATACATCGACACCATCAAATCAGGATCATATATTTCTCCAGCAGCAGCAGCAGCAGCAATTTCACTATCAACAGCAACAGCAGCAATTCCAACAACAGCAATTTCATCAACAACAGCAGTTGCAGCAGGCGCAACAGCAACAGCAACAGCGGACCATACAACAGCAGCAGCAGCAAAACCATCACCACCAGTCACTTGCCTCGCACTTCCACCTCCTCCCCGTAACGCCCTAATTAGATCCTCACCATGTCCATGCATGTTCATCTATTCTATGTGTGCTTGGTTGATCTTTTTGCTTGATATATTAATGAATGCGTTCGTAGGTAGTGGAGAATTTAGCGGATGCTATCGAGAATGGAACGAGGGACCAGCACTCTGACGCGTTGGTTTGTTCTTCTTCTTCGTCATTTTTTTTCTGTTATATGCTTGGCGAAATTTGGTTTGGCTACGGCTTCTTGTGGGTTTCGTGGAGTTCGATTGTTTACATGGGAAGATTGTTGATTTTTGTTTTTCTATTTTTTTTTATTTGGGTGGGAAAAGGTTAATGACTTGAACAACCAGTTTGAGAAGTGTCAGCAGCTGCTAAACTCGATTGCCGGATCCATCAGCACTAAGGCCATGGTAATTGTCAATTCCTCTTAAAGGCACTAGGCTCCTGGAAATCGCTCACTTTTTATTTTACTGCTTAACTCCGTCATTGAAAAGATTAAAAAAAAAAAAAAGAAAAAAAAAACCTTGATTGCCATGTGAGCTCTAGTTAGATATTATGGATATTATTAAGTTTGCACATACCTCTAACTGAATAATTCAAATTTTACTATCAGTTTTGATTTCAATGGTGCATATCTGCCTTCAAAATGTTTAGCACTTTGATAAATTCACATAGAAATAATGTGAGGGATTGGATTTCATGAGATGATCGGGGATCTACTCATTTTGAAATCCATTTGAATGTTTGACTAGTTTTCTTACTGTAAATGGGAATTTGTAATGTTTGATGCAGACTGTTGAAGGACAGAAGCAAAAGCTTGAGGAAAGTGAACAATTGCTGAATCAAAGGAGGTTGCTGTTGTCCTGAAATTTTTTTATCCTGTATTTTGTTTTTGTCTTGATAAATTCATGCTTTTATATTGAATTTTTTATACCAGGGATCTCATTGCAAAGTTTAGAAACTCTGTTGAAGACATTGTCAAGACTGAGCTATAACTGCTTGTCGCCCTGCCTAACAAGGTAGCAAAATATATTGCTCTCACTACTAATGAATGTTACATCGGCTGAGTTCTTTTCCCAGCTGTTATGCAGGCCTAAGTTTTGCATTTTTTGTGAAGATGGAAATTTGCATCTTTTTCGGAACATGATATTTTTCTTTTTTTTTTTTTGATAAACTTAGGCTTATAATCAAACATGTTCGCCTAGCATCAATATCAACCCACCTCTGTGAAGTTAACAAGTTGTTTATCCCCTTTTTGGTTTCTCAGTGTAATGTTTTAATGTATTTAGTATGTATAAAGAATATATGTACACAAGCAGTATATGTATAAAAAGTAAAACCATCAAATGGCGTCTCTATAATGCACATGAGCAAGGGGAATTATTTCCTCCGGTTGTCTGGTCTTAAATAAGTTTCAGAACATTGATGTGTAAAAAACATTTTTGCTGAATGCCAAAAATTGCTTCCTACAACACAGCAATGTAAAAAGTAATATTGATATTCCTGTTTCTTTCTTTCGAGGAACACATTAATATTTAGTTTCCTGTTGTTCTAACAAGCTGAAAACTTTTTTTAACCATGGCTCACTGCTGTCTCATGTATGTCTTGTGTGTGTGTGTGTGTGTGTGCTGCCATTCTGGAGGCACTGAGGTAAATGCCCGCTTGATAGTAGTGTTTCTGAATGTAACATGGTGCTATTTCTTATTTGCTCAGACTTTGTACAAATGGTTCATGCTTGGTGTTTAATCAAATTAGCTCATAGGCATTGATGTATGTGAATGGCCGAACATTGGTAAAGAAGGAAACAATTGGGAGTAGATCTTGTGTCTTTGGTGGGTGAGTACTCATTTTATCAAACCACATTTCTACACTAGTTATCTAGATTAAGCCTTCTCTCATTGTTTATCAACAATCTGCTACTTCTCAAGTAATCACAAGAACAAAGTAATTCTGATTCAACCAACCAAAGAGTAGTAAGTCTTTGTCACGTAATAATTACTGGATTACTGGTACATTCTTGATTCAAACAGGAAGAAACTTATTCATATGTTACTTTTTCAGCAGATTAACGCCTTTTCATCTTTTTGGCCTTCTGATTTCACGTCGAGATGTTGTTTTTTCTTCTTCAAATCTTACTTGATAGGATGAAGGTGAGCATCATAATACGTGGAAGGTTTGAAGGAGACCCAGAAAAGCTAAAGCTGTATTTGTAGGAAGAGTGTGGAATTATATACTTTTTGGTTGGTTGAGCAACAGAGTTCATCCCTGTATTGTGGCTGAGGAGAGGTGTAATTCATATGACTCAAAATGTGTTTGATATTAGCATGCCAGTTATCCATGGTATTTTGAATATTTATGGTTATTTTTGAAATAAACGGATAAAAATGTATTTTACACGATATTTTACATGGGATAAAAATATAATAGAACTTATCTGATTTTTTAAATTTATATATATATATATATATATATATATATATCTGCAAAGAGTAAAAATGGGATAATACTGATTTGTAAAAGGAAGAAGAGATTGACAAGGAGGCAAAGACGGTTAGATAAATATATCAAAAAATAACTGAATGGGTCAACATGATCTCCATCTTCATCTCCATGTCTATCTCATTCCCTCCTATAATCTGTCTGTCTCTCCCCCCATTTCTCTCCATCTCCAATTTTCCTCCCTTCCCACCAGGAGAAAAGTAAGGGCACCAACAACAACAAACCAACCAGAAAGACTTGTTACCTCTATCGTTAACCCAAAAAAAAATAAAGAAAAGAAAAGAATTACCCCACCATCCCCGCCGGCAACGCAGCCGATATCTCTTCCACTTCCTTTCCTCTTCAAAAACATTTAATATCATGTCACCCACATCAACAACAACAACTAAAAAAACAACACCCATCAACATCCCAAGAATTGCTTCTAACGGCACCACCACCACCCAAGCTTGCGCTGCCTGTAAATACCAGCGAAGAAAGTGTGCTCCCGACTGCATTCTTGCTCCTTATTTCCCTCACGACCGCCAACAGCAGTTCCTCAACGCTCATAAATTGTTTGGCGTTAGCAACATCACCAAGATCATCAGAAACCTCGACCCTCCTGAGAAGGACGCCGCCATGCGCACCATTATTATTCAGTCTGATGTCCGTGCCAAAGATCCCGTAGGCGGTTGCTGTCGGATCATACGCGACCTTCACCATCAGATTTTGTACACCAAGACCGAACTCGATATGGTTCTTCATCAACTCGCAATTTGCCGAGCACAAGTCCAACAACAACAACAACATTTGCAGATGCAAGAAACCCACGAAACCCTTGCCTGCGACATTGTCAACCCAGATCCTTTCGCCTCTTACAATTCCATGTCTTACAATGATTATCTTCAACCTCATGACCAAGACCAACAATACGTTGTGGACGATCAGCACCAATTGCAGCAAGATGTCAATGCATGGGCCTTGCAAGATTCAACATTGTTGTCATCATCCTCATCATCTGGGAATATTGTGAAGCATAATCTGGTTAGCGAATGCGATGAACATGCAGAGCCGGTTGTTGAAGTGGTGGGTAGTGAGAGACATGAGCATATCAAGTTTGAGCCTGAAGAGTTAGTGGAAACGAGATTCGTAGCATCAACCCAGTTGCTTATATCGTCCTAGACTATTAATTTAATTTGCGGCAAAAAACAGGGGAGAAGATATTCCAACGTGGGTTGACGAATAGTCCCTCCCTTTGGTTTAATTTGTTTGGCTTACATTTCTCAAGCTTACTTGGTTCTTGAGGTACACAAAGCTATTTTTCTGTATTCATCACTCCATTTCAATGTTGCTGACAAATGATTAGGCATATAGAACTTTTATTAATTTTATTTACCTGTTTAAAAGCTTATTTAAATAGTATGCAGAATTCTGGGTTATTTACTTGTAAATCTATGAATCAGCTTTTGAAATATTTGTGCTCAAACAGAGAATTTTCAGATTTCAAAAGGAATAAAATTTCTAATTGTTAGTTTTTTAATTGTGTTAAGAAAATAAGATAAATATATATAATATTTTCATTATCTCCTGCCATATCAAATTTTTAAAAAAAAAAATGGTTATAATTATATTATTTAATAGATTATTATGTGTTATGATGTGAATGTGAATAATATAGATACTCATTTCTTAACCGTGTTTACTTCACTCCATTTATGAATTCTAAAATTATATTTAATATATTATATTAAATACTACAAATGATTAAATTTGATAAATAATATGTTATATAAGTATTAATTTAATTTTTATATTCTTCACATGTTCAATATGTTCCATAAGTCCATCCAATATGTCCGTCCATATTAAAAGGAGTGTGTAGCAATGAGATTAATTGAGTCCAAGATCTTGAGGACTCATTGATGTCTTGTTTGTAGATACCTATTTGGCAAGTTGTAAGATTTTTTGTTGATTATAGGTTAAAAAAAACTCAGTTATATTTTGATGAATAATATAACTGAGAGTCCATGAGTAGTAGGACTTTCTGGTGTTTGGCTTTTTTGGATTAGAAGTCATCTCCCCCTGCTCAAGATTTCCTTCTTCATGAATCCATCCTTCTGCATAATATTATTGGCCGATAATATTATGCTTGGTACACTTGACATAGTGATATTACATCTATATAGCCCAAATGCACCATGAATTCGGTTCTCATAAGCTTCTCTCCATGTGGACAAGCTTCCTCATGAATTGTCTTGATCTGACCCCTCATATAAGTTAACATGTGACCTCTTAAGCTTATGTAACCATGATGATTTCCTTTATGGTCATGAGTTTCCAAGTTCATGTGGCTTGAGCCTTCATGTATTCTTGATCTCCTATGTGGCTTATTATGATTTGTGCCACTTAAATCTTCACCATCTAAGTTCATGAAGAACTTCATCACATAATCCCTATCTTGATAGTCAATAATGGCTCTCAAATCTCCACAAATATAGTTAGATATACGTTCATAATTAACAAGTTCATCAAT